ACATTGGCATCATCGTGGCTTCTCCTATCGCTTCTTCCAGTGCAGTAGCTGCCTGGGGCAAGGCGCTGTACAAATAGAGGACCACCAGGTGCTTCTGGCCGTGGCCTTGGCCCAGGGACAGTGTTCAGCATTAGTAATGGCCCACAAAGGAAAAACTGTCAAACCGTGCTTCCATTTTTCTGTTTCTGGCAGTTTTCTTCAACAGAAAATCCTGGCTCGTCCTTGTGTTACATGGATGGCTCACTTCCCCCAGAGGAGCCGGGAGCGAGGGGCCTGGTGTAGGATTGTGATGTGAAGCGATTTTGCCCAGGGAAGGGGTGGACTCTCCTTCACAGGAGGTGTTGAGGAGGAGGTTGGACAGCAATTAGGGATGATCTAGGCATAACAACGCTTATGTTCTACTATGGGGATTTCCCCGGCTTCTGGGCTTTGCTGGTTGCCCCCTCCCCCCTTTTCTGCTACATGTCAGGGTGTTTTTAAGCCTTTCCCAGAGGCACTGGGTGTTGGCTACAGCCAAGCCTGGGAACTTTGACTGGGCTGTGCCAGTGCACCTGCTAGGACCAAAGCCAAAGGTTGCTGGCTAGAGGGTCTTGCCCCTCTGCTCAGGGTCAGACTGATGCTGCACTTGGATCAGGAAGGAATTTCCCCCCGTCAGGTTGGTACAGACTGGAAGGGTTTTGCCTTCCTCTGTAGTGAGGGTCATGGCCTCTACCTGGGGTCTTTTGGGCGTATACTGATGACATTTCATAGAAGCAGGGCGCTGGCTGCCACGAATCCTCTGCTTTCTCCATGGCAGGTTCAGGTGTTAGGTCTGTGTTGTGTTGGGGTTCACGGTTTCTTGTGTAGAGTTTAGATTGTTTTGTGTGGGGTGGTTTGTACAGGGCTGATCCTGCCTCAGGCTGGACTACATGACCTCTGTAGGGCCCTTCCAGCCCCACTGCTCTAGGATGCTGTGATTCATGTCCCTTCCGTGTCCGATTGGTTTTGTTGCCCTGCCCCCTAGTTGTGAGAGAGCAAGGCTCTGGGCTAGAGATTTGGCTCCTTTCTGCTGCAGGTAGGAGCTGAGAGTGTCCAGAGTCATCCAAGGTTACAAAAGAGCAAAGGTGCAACGATTCTGATGCTTTGGCATGAGCAGCGCACTTGAGGGGAGGGAAGTGTCCCTTTCAGGCCTCTCTGCTTCACCATGAACATAAAGCAGCAGCAAAGGGCCCCAGCCCAAGTGTCTGTGGCCTTCCAGCATTCACCCTCACACGCTATCCCATCAGCATAGAGCAGCAGCCAGTTAGACATGTGTTGTCAGGGGCCTGTCCTGAGCCCTGGCCCCAGCAATGTGTCTGCATCCCAGTCGCATCACACATGAGGGACCCAGATGCTCCTGCTGCGTGGGCTCACTGGCTTCTCTCAGCTCCCCCCATCAGCGGCTCTGGGCTCCATGGGGGGCTGACTGCAGTGAGCTGCTCTGGCCTTGCCTCCTATTGGGACTGGGTAACCAGGAGGCTTTACAAACCTGTCCCTGGTTGCATGGCCAAGGCAAGCAGACTGTGCCCCCAGGGGCTGGAGGCTTCTCCCTGCTTCAGACTCATCTCCCTGATGAGTCCTCAGTTGCTTGCTTCAAGGGGTTCTTGAGGCTGCAGGGATGTGACGTGACCCAGCAGCTTCCTGTCACTGAGATGGAAAAGACTCTGGGACTGGGCCATTTCCCCCACAATGGGGAGCTGGGAGGTGTTTGTGTCACCTGCTCTGTGAACCAAACCTCCCTGGCCTGGGCAGCACATAGGGGCCTGGGGCTCAGCTGTAGAAGGCCTGAAGAGCGACTACATGCGTCTGGGTCACCTGGGGCAGCCATCCTCTGGGCTCTGTGGGTTTTGTTTTCCTGGGCAACAGACAATGATGGGCTGGGAGCCCAGGTGGGAGACAAAGAAGCCTGACTTGTGGTCAGCTGTGTGGCTGCCGGGTGCAAGCATGCTCTCTCCTGTGCCTGGAGGCATTTGTGCAGTAAGTCCGGCCTTCCAAGGGCTTAGTGGCGTTGCCTGGGTCTCTGCTCACAGGGGGCAGGTGCCCAGCCCCTCTGCTGTCAGGTGTGGTACTGAGTGCAGTTTGCTCTCTGCCATGATGCCTTCTGGCACTGCTGGGGAAAGCTGGCTTGTGTCCTGCCAGAGGTCTAGCTGTTGCAGTAGTGGTTTGACTTCAACACCTGTTATGGAGGAAAAGCAGCCAGAAGCTGATGCAGAGCAACCTGCAACTGTGGTTGGGGGCAGGAATGTGTCCTTGGGGGCAGGAGGAGCCAGAGTGTGGCATGGAGCCGCTGACCCACCGACAGCAGGGGGAAGGTCTCTACGCAGAGGTTGTGCAGGACCTGTGACACTGCCTCCACAGCAGCCCAGAACCAGGAGCAGGGACAGGTGATGGGGCTTGGCAGGGCCCAGGAGCATGCTGCTGAGTGGGTGCGTTGCAGCACCTATGGTATGCCCGAGATTGTTCCCTGGGGTACAGGGCAAAGGGAAGGGCTCACGCAATCACAAATAGGGCAGCAGAGAGAGACCAGGAGCTGCCGATCTTCCTACCTCACGACAGAGCTATGCAGTGAGTCAGTTCAAGAGGTGACAAACTCGAAGCTGGCCAGAAGACGTGCTTTTTCACACCATGCGTCACAAGCCTGTGGCGTGCGTGGCCCTAGCAACTTCCTGTGGTGAAGAACTTCGCGGGGCTCGGAAGAGGGCTGGTGGTTTCCTCGGCTGACGAGATGTCCAGCATCTGCTGCAGGCAATGGCAGATAGATGGCCTCCAGCCTCAGCCCATCTACTGACCTCTGGCTGCCGGGGCTGGGGGTGCAGCAGAGTGCGAGGTGGGGCCCTCACCCGCTGCTGGGGGTGACCCTGGCCAACGGCTCCACCGGGCATCTTCCCTACATGGGCCTGGTGATGGAGCAGAGCTCGCGAGGCAGGCTATCCCTGCCCAGGAGCCTGCATGGGGCAGAGTGGCAGGGGCACAGCCAGCTTCCTCTTTCTCACTGAGCTCTGTGTGTGTGTCTGCTTTGGGGTGGCCTGTGCGAAGACCCCTCTAGTCCTCTCGAGTGCCATCAGACCAGGGCGAGGTCCTGCTGGACCGGACACTTCGCGTCACTCCCTCGACTCCCTGCAAGATTGGGCACCAGCAAGCTTGTCCCTAGGGGCCTGAGCCCAGCAAGCTGCTTGAAGGGCCTCAATCAGCGTCTACAGCACCATGTGTTATGTATTCATACGTGGCCAGAGAGCACATGGCAGAAAGGGGTTGTGTCTTGAGTCTGTTGCTGGGGGAGGCCTTTGCCTCATTCCTCCTTTCTTGCCTTGACAAAGCCTGGTGCTCCTGGCTCCTGGCCCCCTCTGGGTTGGGAGAAGTGGACTCTGTACTGCAGCCTGCTCTCTGGAGACTCCTTTAGCTGCTGCGGTCTGCTCTGCCCGCTTCCTCTCTGTGAGCAGAGGTCTTTGAAGGCAGCTGACATCTCTCTTCTTCCCCTGCCAGGAGAAGAAAGAGCCTCGCTTGCTGACTGAGGAGAGTCTGGCCATGGCTTTCCCATTAGACTTTATGGGCCTTTGGTCTCTTTATCTTGTTGTAACGTCAGTTCTGCTCTGCAGTGAGGTGTGGTTTGTGTGCTCACACATCCCTCCTTGCCCAGCCCTGATGACCCCTGCAGTCCCATAGCAAGCCAAGCGCTGGCTGGGACTTGGTTAGGACAGACTGTGAGAGTCAGGATGCTGTTTGCATTAGAGAGAGGTGTGCTTCTCTGATGCACTCATGGGCCATGGTGCTGCTCTCCCCTGTGGAGTGTGGGCTGTCATTGTGGCCTCTGGAAGCCCCATTGACTTGGGCAGTGTGATGAAGAAAGAGACCTCAGATGCTGCAGCCTTTAGATGTCCCAGGGGTGCTGGTCTGCTGTGACCCAGCTCAGGATGCCTGGGCCAAAGCAGAGGTGGAAAATGCCTTGCCAGGATCACATTTCTCAGGCCAGGGCTCAGCCCAAGAAGGCATGTGTGAAACAGACTCCTCTGCAGTTTTGGGCATGCTCTTCCTATACCAATGCCTGTCGGGCCCTTTGTGTCACAATGCGGCCCTCTGAAGCAGCTCTGCTGGAGCCAACTGGGTGCAGGCACCGCATCCACAGCAGGACACAGGCCAGCTTTCCCCAGCAGTGCCAGAAGGCATCATGGCAGAGAGCAAACTGCACTCAGTACCACACCTGACAGCAGAAGGGCTGGGCACCTGCCCTGGTCCACTGCTCTGTGGTGCTCTGCTCACCCCGAGCTATCGAAGCGCCTCTCAGGCCCTTGAGAGATGGACCCTTGCTTTCTGCTGAGAGGGTTGGTGGGTACATGGAGGATGGACAGGACTGAGATGCTGTGTGGAAGCAGCAGTTTCTTCATGCTTCTTTAATGCTGTTTGGTTTTTGGTTGGCACCTCCTTTGCACCCTGTTCAGAGACTGCTTGGGAGAAGTCCCCATAACATGCTCCTCCCTGCCCTCCAGCTGGCCACCTGGCTGAGACTAGCTAAATCCAGCATGCCCAGTGGAGCTCAGAGAGGAAATGGGCTGTGCACTGCCCTGGTCTCACTGGGCTGTGAGATGAATGCTGCCTTCTGCAGTCTCTCACCAGGTACATCTGAGCCTGGCACCGGGCAGCAGGCCTGAGTTCATGGCTTTGTGAAACGGGAGCACACCAGCAGGCACGTGGGCTCTGGGCTGGGCAAGGTGCAGAGACCCGAGCAAGTCAAGCTCGCTTGCAGGGAACCTACCAGTGTGATTATGGCGCTGTGGATATGCTGGGGACTCTCCATGTGTAGGCAAGTCCTTGGTGTCTGTGCCCCTGCACCCACCTGCACCACAGGGTGATAGCACTGCTACCCTCATGGGGCCGAGAGGGTAGAAGGGCAGAAATGGTCCCATCCATAGCCTGCCGTGCAGGGGAGGTGGAGGCATTTGCATAGTTGTGGGTGGGAGGGGTGGCTGGGCTGCCCTCCTAGTGCAGGGGAGTTGCCTGAGGCTGAAGGTCTGCAGCCTCCTCCTTGAAGAGCAGCGGTCCTGTGGTGAGCTTCCCCAGAGGGCGTGTCTGGCAGGGCCTGGGTTGTGTTTCAGGCACTATTCTGTTGCTCTTGCCTTCCCTCCAGCTTTGCAAGGAGAGAAATGCTGGTGTTTGAGGAGTCTGTCGAGGCAAGGATGAGCTGTCCCAGCAGTTCCCCATGGGGACCCTGGGCGCGCCTGACTCTATGCTTCTCTTTCAGGATGCACACAACTGCATCCCCGAGCTGGACAGCGAAACGGCCATGTTCTCGGTCTACGATGGACACGGAGGTAACTGCTCCTTGCTCTTTCCAGGGAATTGTGTTGGGAGCCTCTTCCCAGCAGTCTGCCCACCTTGAGGTCCTGCTGCTGTACAGGACTCTTCTCTGGCCGAGTGAGTCTGTGAGGCCTCCGGAAGGAGGGTGCTGGGCTGGTGGGGTTGCAACTGGATTTGCATTTCCAGCAGGCATCCAGCAGGCACCCCCCAGCAGGCATCACGGCTGCTGGCCTCCCCAGGGCTGAGCCTGTTTTCTCTATAGATGAGGGTTGGGCAGGAGGGTGGCCTAAGGATCACCATGGGTAGTGTATGTGTATGCGCAAACACATTTGTGCACTGCATGCACAGCCCATCTTGTAGAGCGTGGGTGAGATGGAGCTGGCTGCTGGCATGTACTTGCTCTAGATGGCTGCCCTTGAAGCCTGGTCTCTCATGGTCTTTTGTCCTCCTTGGTTGTCCCAGTGGTAGTGGAGGGGCCTGGTCCCTGGAGCTACTGTCCCTGCTCCACATCCCCATGTGCGGATACTGTACTGATAGGGCTGTTCTGTGTTTTGGTCTCTATCCAGTTTTAGCTGGCCCCACCCTGTCCCACTGCTCTTCCCCCTTCCCCCCCTTGCTTCCCCCAGCCAGGCCAGTACAGGATCTTCACTTCTCTGGAGCTGCTCTTGCAAGAAATGCCCTGTCTGTTGTTTTGGATGCCAGTCAGTGCCTCCTGTCCCTGGGCAGGATAGGGTTAAAAGCTGGATCCATGCAGCACAGAATCGTGCTCTGGAAATTGAGCTTGCAATGCACCCGAAGCAGTGACATCTGCCTGAGCCCACGCGTGGGCTGAACCCGTGCCCTCTGGGTATGTGCCAGGCTGCCTTCTCCCTCATGCCTGAGCCTCTTGCAGGCACCAGTTCCTTAATCCACACAAAAAGAGCATCACTTTCTGACTTGCCAGGAGCTCTGTGATCGGCTGCTCCCAGACTTAGCATGTGGGGCTGAGCTGGGAGTTGGGGGCCCCCAGTGAGCATTCATGAAAAGACCTGAGCAGCAGCTTTGGCCCCCCCTTTGGGCAGTGCCTCAGTTTGGGCCACTTGCTCTCAGGAGGCATTGATTGCAGCCACCAGGCGTTTCCCCGTTCCTGACTGTTCCGCTGGTCTCCATCCTGCTGCTGTGTTTCACCAGGTCAGGCTGATATCCCTCCATCCCTGGGGCCCCAGAGCCAGCGCCCCTCAGAACATGGCCTTTGGTTCAGTGTTGTGCTGCTCCAAACCTCCTACGTTGTGACGGATGTTCTGGACGCACAGCCTCTCTGAGATGCTGCACGGGCCCATCTCTACCTCCTAGGAGGCCTCTGCATCTCCAGCTGTCTCCTGTGGAAAGCGCCTGTCTTCATGCCAGTCTTGCTCTGAGGCTGTCGCATCCCTGCCTCTCAGAGGAGCTGTGGGCGTGTGTGTAGGACATTTTTTTCCCAGGGGGTTGTCTGGGTTTTCCCCAGCTGAAGTTACGAGCTGTGTTTGCTTTCCCATGGGTCTCCTTATGAATGATGCCTCTGGCTTCTGGGCAGGACTCCTGCCAACACATCAGATCCCATCCACATGCTGTTTGAAAGACCCAACACTGATCCCTTCACTCTCCCAGTGCTCCCCCCTCCCCAACTCTCAGGAGGTCTCTCGTCACTAGGCCTTTTTCTCTGAAGCAGTTCAAGTTTAGATCAGTGATCTGAGCAGACATCTAGAGAGAGGAGTGAGTGCTCACTGAGCCCTGAGTCTGGGTAGCACAAGTGACCATCTATAAACTCACTAGGGGGGGACCAGCAGAGTTTGGGAGAGACCCTGTTCCCCCTAGCGCCCCCCCGGGGTAACAAGGAGTAACAGTCACAAATTGTTAGAGAGCAGGTTTAGACTAGACATCTGAAGGCACTACTTCACAGTCAGGGCGGCTAGGATCTGGAACCAACTTCCAAGGGAAGTGGTGCTGGCTCCTACCCTGGGGGTCTTTAAGAGGAGGCTTGACATCTACCTGGCTGGGGTCATTTGAGCCTGGTTTTCTCTCCTGCCCAGGGCAGGGGGTTGGACTGGATGATCTACAAGGTCCCTTTCGACCCTACTTCTGTGAATCTATTCTATGAATCTAAGTGGGTGAGTCAAGGCCTGACAGATGGTTATGAGGTGGTAAGATGAGAAATAGGGTGACTACGGCACAGTAGCCAGGACCATGCATCCTGTGGACACAGAAGCCAGCTCCACTCAGAAACACCTGGCGCCGCAGGCTCTGGCTCCAGAGCGGCTGCTGTGATGTCAGCCTGAGTCTGCAGACAGGTTGGAGCAAGAATGCACGTGCCTGCAGCCCTGGCGCAGCCCCATCTCTGAAACAGCTGAGCCCCTGAGACACCAAGCTGCAGGCCTCTCTCCAGGACTCGGGCTTTAAGCAGAGGGGGAGTGAGATGGGCCTGGCATTGGGGCAGGAGGGTCTTGAATGTCTGCCTGTGGGAGGACAGTGGGGTAGGGCTGCCCAGCCCACAGCCATGATTGTGCTACTGATCCTCTGTTTGGCCATGATGGTGGTGTGGTCTCACTAGGAATTTTTAGTGGTAGAGTGGTGACCAGAGCAGTGAGATGGGCAGGCAGAGTTGGAGCATGGACAATGAAGTGTTTGCTCAGGGTCACTGCTCAGGCAGCAGCTGTCTGGGTGCTGTGTTCTGCATGCATGGGCCATCCCTGTACCTGGGCTGTCATGGGCGTCATGTCCCAGCCCAGAGGCCAGCTGGATGGTGGGCCTGGACCCCATCATTAGTCCCTAGGAGGATGGGGGGAAGGGTGAGTCTAGCTACAATTGCCGCTGACACCAGATTACACCTAGCTGCTGGGACACGCAGCATTGCTCCCCAGCAGAGCTTGCAGGGAGTAGGGCCGAGTCAGGGCAGGTGCTTGCCTCTCCAACCCCATGCCTGATTACACATCTGCTCAGCATGCACCACTAGGGCCAGTTTGGTGGCACTCCTTGCCGGGGCCCTCTCCTAGGTGGCTGCTGATTCAGCCCATGCGGCTGGCTGCCCTCAGGGCCTGCTTTGGGGCTGGGATTGGCTGTAAGGCGGCTGGATCTGGGCTGTCACCTTGTGGCTTGGTGCATGGGGATTGTCTCCGCCATCAGGACAAGGGCCCTGCCAGGGTGGCTGCCTGCTTCTGTGGGAGTGGAGGGAGCTGCCAGCATCACCATGTCCTGCAAACCATGTTGTGGTCTCAGCCCTTCTTGGGTGTGCTGAGCTCCTGGCTGGAAGATTTGTCGGCACCTCTGAGGCAGACCAGGCTGCTCGTTGCTTCAGGCAAGCCTTCATGCGGCCTTTGTCCAGGGAGTCACCACAAACATTGGCAATGTAGTTAATTATCGACCAGCATTGCCCCAGAAGGAGCCACGTGAGGGCACGGAGGAGGCCAGAGCGAGACGCTCATCCAAAGATCCAGGTGCCCTTGCTCTTCTGGACCCATGCCAGGCTGGTGGGGCCTAGGGCTAGCTGACAGGTGAGGGCCGGGTGTCTGTATGGGCAGGATTAGTTCCATTGGTGCCGTGAGTCACAAAACGCTGCTGTCTCCACAGCCCCAGGAGGGATTGGGGCCAGGGCCCATGGGTGGGTTAGCTCGATCTCCACAGAGCTGTGGCAGGTGGGAGAGCTCCAGGGTCCAGGAGGCCACGTGCTGTGTTTCTGCCCCCTCTGCCATGCATATGGGACCATGGCTGGGGCATGGTGTTCTCTGAACCCAGGCAGCCCCAGCTATGGCTCAGCATGGTGGCTAGTGGGTGAGCTGGAACTGGGACTGCCTGAGGCTCAGCCCAGACCAGATGAGGTGTGGGGGTGAGTTTGCAAAGCAGCTGGAGGCAGTGGTAAAAGTGGCATCAGCCTGCGATGGGGATGCATCTGCTGCCCTTCACCCCAGGGTCATAAAGAGCCCAGCTGCTCCTTTCCTGTGCTGCCCCAACTGCCGTCAGCTCATAAAGGGGCAGCAACTGGCAGACTCTTCTCTGTGAGGCCTCCAGGACTGGCAGTTTGCTCCCACCGTGGTCTGCGATGTTCAGTAACAGCCTGGGACAGATCCGTGCTAAGCCCCAAGGAAGGTGCGAGGCATTTGCATTGGTTCCTCTGGTTTCTTAGCTGAAGGGTGTAGTATGAGGTCTGATGCCTTAGTGGTGCTGCTGCCTTTCTCACTAAGCTTGCAGTGTCGACACTGACAGACGCCGTCCCTGAGACGAGGCCTCTGTCCCATAAACCCCATGGGTCAGTGTTGGTCACATGCCCCTTTCAGTTCCTTGCTGATTAGGTCCTGTATTGGCTGGTCTGGGGGCTGGCGTCAGGCTGATGGCCCCGCCGCTTCCCTAGTCGTCCTTCTTACCCTGTCCAGATTCCCGGCACTTTCGCTTCTCTCTCAGAAAATCCTTATTCCCTGCCCTAGTCTCCCCGTTCCTGACCCTGGGGTGGGAGCTGGGTCTGGCCAGGCAGCTGGTGTTCTCGCCCACGTTCCCACGGTGACTGCACCTGCCTGGACAGAGCCAATTCATTGACCTTTCCACGGGTCCCCTTTGTCAGCAGCTGCTTCCCCCAAGGCATCTGCCCCTCACTGACTGCCTGCTGCACCCTCCGTGCCTGCAGGCCTGAGGGCTTCCTGCTACCATTCTTCCTTGAGCACCCTGTACCCCCAGGGCTGGGCTCTCAGCCTCTCCCTGTGGTTATGCTGGAACAGGGGCAGGTCCCACATCACTCCAGGTCCTACCTTTCTCCATTGTTGTGGTCTTTGCCCCTCCCTTTTCACCCCTGCTTCTGCTGGATGGTGGAGCAGGGCACTGGGTCACACCTTAGCAGAGAAACGTAGGCTGACGTGGTGCTGCTGCCAGCAGTTTGGCATGGGGGCTCCTTCCCAGCCACGCATCGCAAATTGCAGCAGGATCAGGAGGGAGCTTTTGCCTGCATGCCTGGAAGTACATCTCCGCTGCATGAGTATAGGGCTGGGCTCAGCTGCCTCCTGCCATTCCCCCACCCCAGTGGGACATCCTGCCTTGGCCCTATGGCTCCCACTATGCCTGACAAGTTATGCAACGAAGTGGTGAATCGTGCAATCAGTTTAGACAGGCCACACTTGCAAAGTGATTATCACACAGTAGTAATGTCTCTCCAGCTATAAAAAGAGCCAACCAGCTATAAAGTTTATGGATGAAAATGTGTAACAGCTCTGTAGCTGGCTTTTATCCAGCTTCTATTTGAATGTATGGTAGAGCCCTTAGCTGCACTGGCCCCTTCTGTCTCTGGCAGACTCCACTCCTGCCCTTCTCCATGCCCAGCTCAGTCGCCTGCTCCATGCTCTGAGGCTCTACCCTGGGCCCCCTGCACTGTTCTTGGCCTCCCCACTGACCCTTGGTTACCAGGTGACTCTGCACAGGCCCTTGCGTCTTGCGTTCCACCAGGTCTGTTCCATCAGCTGGATGCCAGTGACTCACGTCACTGCATCTAGTCCAGCTCCTCCAAGTGGCTTGTCTTGGAGCTGGGGTCCCTCTGCGGGTGCCGGCTGCCACCTGTGTCATGTGATGACTGGCAGTCCTGCTCAGGAGCAAAGCTCAGATTTGTACCCTTGCTTTTGGCTTTTCACGTGAGTGACACCTCCTCCAGGTTCTGCAGTGCCTGGCCCTGCCGAGACCTTCCCACGTCTCCTCTAGCCTCCCTCTTCCAACAGGGCTGTGCTTGTCCCTGGGGCTGTAGTCTTCCTTGTGTGCTAGTGTACTGGCTCCCCTTGGCAGCGCCTGGTCTCTGCTGCAGGGCTCCCCATGCTTGAACGTGGGAACACAGCTCTTGCTGGGATCAGCTGTGGGATGCTTGATGGGCTTGTCCAGGGAGCCCTTAGGACCTGGCCAGCCACAGCAGGTTCAAGTCCCTCAACATGCAGGGTCTGGTGGGTCATGATGGTTAATGGTGTTACCAGCCAGGCCTGTCAGTGCAGCAGGGAACCTGCCAGGAGCTAGTGCCCCACAGCCCCCTACCAACACATGCTCCTGCTTATAGCTCCTAATTTGGGGCTGGCTCGTGTCTCCAATGGTCCCACTGGCTGGGTCATGCTGTGCTCGCTGCTGAGGAAGGAGCAAGCTTTTCAGGGTCCCTCTGCTTCCTTCCAGGGGAAGAGGTCGCCCTATACTGTGCCAAGTATCTCCCGGGGATCATCAAGGACCAGAAAGCCTACAAGGAAGGCAAACTGCAGAAGGTGAGGGTCTGGGCCCCAGAGTGTGAGATGGCTCTTTTGGGCCCTAGTCCTTCCCAGCTCCTGGTGCCCTGTGGGGTCTCCCTTCCCCTGCTCCTTCCAGCTGAGCTTCCACCCTCCGGCCCCTTATTAGCGGTCTGCTCACTAGCTGTTGGCCATCGCTCCCTCAGCGATAGGAAATCCTGTTTCCTTGTAGCTGCCAGGACTTAGTGCTACTATCTTGCCCATGCCCTGTCACTACATAGCATGCCCCTGCCCTCCATCACCCATGAGCTGCCCTGGTTCGTTTGCAGTCACCTGGATCAGGACAGGGATGGGGATGCTCTGGGGCACTGGGGGTAAGGGAAATGCAGCCTTTTTTGGGCAGCCCCTTACTGTGAGCTTGAGGGCTTCAGGGCAGATGCAGGAAGGCTTCGGAGATGTTGGCTGCTGGGCTGCAGGTCAGTTGAGCTCGACTCCCTTAGAAAGGAGGGTATTCCATGCACCCCCTGAAGTCCTGACCCATCCCCTCCCTGCTCTGCTGACCCTGTCCCACACAAGTGCCCCAGAAGGGCCTAGCTGCGGGACATCCTCAGCATGTGGGGGAGCAGAGGGGAGGAAGCAGGAGCTCTGTCTCCACCCTGTGCAGACCTTCCACCCTTGTGCCGGTCTCTAGGCCCTGGAAGACGCCTTCCTAGCCATCGATGCCAAGCTGACCACGGAGGAGGTCATCAAGGAGCTCTCCCAGATGGCTGGACGCCCCCAAGACGATGAGGATGAGAAGGAGAAAGTGGCTGATGAAGATGATGGTAGGCACAGGAAGGCACTAGGGCGTGTATCAGACTGGAGGCTGTGCTGGCTGGGTTAGCTTGCTGCTTGCATGGCAAACCTGCCCTGGCCTCACTTGGGCACCTTTAGGGATATCTGCAGAGAGGGCATGTGAGAGGTCTGGGCAGGGAAGATGCCCCTCACGGTGCTAAGAGGTGCCAGTGGTGTCTGCTGCAAGGGGGCAGGCGTGGCTGTGGAGCAGGTGGGTGTCAGTCCCCCCTCTGTGGGCTCTCACCTTCTTCCTGTTGGGCTGCAAATGCATTGTCCCACCTTAAACGTCTGCCCAAGCAAGATGCCAAGAGCTGGCTGGGAGATGAGCTCCCTCAAGGGCAGGAGCACAAGGCAGTGCCAGGCTGGGAGTGGATTCAAGGAGACATTGCCTAGAATAGTGTTATCCTCTGGGAAGGCTGAGCCTGCTACCGGCCTGGTGGCAGTGATGGAGACGGTCCCGGCTTCCCCTGTGCCGTGCACTGGGTGCTGCCGTTCCCCTCCCTCGCAGCTTGCGCAGATCAGTAACCACTCGGTCACGTTGCCCCACAAATGGCCCAGCATCTGTGGCCCAGCCCCGAGTCCAGAGAGAAACAGGGACACCCAAGACTCCACAGTGAAGTGCTAGCGTTTCTCCTGGGCCCTGTTCGGAGCTAGAGCCGTACGGCTCAGCCTCTCTGCTCGGCTGGGTGTCAGCAGGCAGGTCTCTGCAAGACCATGGTCTGTAGTGTCCCAGCACTTGGCATCCATGGGCCCCAAGCCACCCAGGGGTCTGAGACCTGTGCAGCTGGGGGGAGGGGGTCTCCTGCAGCCCCTACACCAGCTCATGACTCCCGCACAATAGAGTGCAGGAAGGACAGTTGCCTTAACCCTGCTCTGTGAGAGCAGGTGGTCTTGTGAAACCTGCAGGACACAGGCGGGTGGTCATCAGGCAGGCCTGGAGGCACTCCGGGGTGGCTGCCACGTACATAGCGCAGCAGTGCGGGACCTGTATGTGTCCATGTTGAAGAGTGAGGGGCTCCCTCCCCCACCCCCATGGGCTGCTTGGCTGAATCTCTGGCACCTCTGCATGTGTGCGCGTGCTGCCTGCATGCCACAGCACAGCTGAGAGACCTGTCCCGGGGACCCGCCCTGCCCCCTGCCGCCCAGGCTAGGCTCGCCCTGCCAGCAGCTCTGGGGGCAGTGCAGTGCGTCCCACGCTCTGACCCCTCCATGTCTCTGGCAGTCGACAACGAGGAGGCCGCCCTCCTGCATGAGGAAGCCACGATGACCATCGAGGAGCTGCTGACCCGTTACGGGCAGAACTGCACCAAGAACCTCAAGAGCAAGCCGGGCGCAGCCGGGGAGGCGGGCAGGGAGCACGGCGGGGAGGCCAGCATGAACGGGGAGGCCACCCCCGGGGAGCTGGCCGAGCACAAGGAGAGGGACAACAGCAAGCCAGATGAGGAGGCCACAGGCATTTCCTCCACCTCAGACAGAGCGGGTGCGGGGGGCGACAGCTCTGCAGCTGGGAAAGCCGACCTGGGCCGGGGCGAAGAGGCGGTCACCTCATCCACTGGGGAAGCTGGGCCCTCCTGCTCCTCCACAGGGAAGCCCCAGCGCACCACCAAATCCAAGTTCTTTGAGGACAGCGAGGACGAGTCGGATGAGGCGGAGGAGGAGGAGGAGGACAGTGAGGTAGGAGCCAAAGCACGGGGCAGATGGCCCACAGGCTGGGCAGGGTCATGTCTCCTGCTGGGAGCCCCAAGCCTCAGCTCATCCCCCAGCTAGGGCTGGAGGTGGGACTTGCCAGCAGCTGCCTGCATTGGGGTCCTCTAGGCATGGCGAGGGTGCATTTGGAAGTCCCAGGTGTTTCAGCGGGTTCTGTGGCCTGGCCAAATGCCTGACCCCACCAGCTGCTGGATAACCATGGCACCTGACTGTGTGCCCTGGGGTGGGAAGGCCTGCCACCCATCCTGCTCCGTGAGGCTGGTTCCTTCGAGCCAAGGCACAGGTCTTGCGCCACAGCTGGAGCCATGCTCCTCTTCCTGGCAGGAGTGCAGCGAGGAGGAGACTGGCTACAGCAGCGAGGAGGCAGAGAACGAGGAGGATGAGGATGACACAGAAGAGGCTGAGGAGGACGAGGATGAAGAAGAAGAGATGTTGTTACCGGGCATGGAGGGGAAAGAGGAGGTGCGGGTCCTGCTCCATGCTCTGGGCTTCTGGGTGGTGGCACCAAGCTGAGGAGAGGGCTCCAGGGAAGCTCTGGGAGGGGGGATGGGCACTGGGGCTGCAGGGCAGCTGAAAGCTTGCTCACTCTCTATCCTGAGGTCCCTCAGGCTTGGGGAGTATGTCCTGGGGCCCCTCTAGTTCACGGGTCTCCCACTGACCAGAGGCCCAGGGCTGCATCTTGCTGGCATGCGGCAGAGGCCGCAGAAGGCTCCATCCCTCCCTTCGTGGCCAAGGAGGGCACAGCTCCAGCCTTGCCCACATCTCCGGGGTTGGAAGCGGATGTGGGGACCTGCTCTACTGCCACATAACGTGGTGCACTCCACTCCTGCTCCAGTGCCCCCACATACCCCCCAGGCCTCGCATCTCAGTGGTGCGGTAGCAAGGTGTCCTGTGAGCACTGGTGGTGGTTTCTATCCCATCCATGGCTGGTGCTGGCTCCTGCAGGGCCTGGGGCACCATGTGGGGCCTGTGCCTGGCAGGGAGTTCTCAGCCAGCCCCTTGTTCCCCACAGCCTGGCTCTGACAGTGGGACGACGGCCGTCGTAGCCCTGATCCGGGGCAAGCAACTAATCGTGGCCAACGCTGGGGACTCCCGCTGCGTGGTGTCCGAGGGCGGAAAAGCCGTGGACATGTCATATGACCACAAGCCCGAGGACGAGGTGGAGTTGGCCAGGATAAAAAACGCCGGCGGGAAGGTCACCATGGATGGGAGAGTGAATGGCGGCCTCAATCTGTCCCGAGCGATCGGTGAGTGAATCCAGGAGGAGGGTGTGGGCTGCGGGACTCAAAACAGTATGTGCGTTGGCTGTTGCAGATTCAGCAGAAAGCAGCTTTAGACTTGCGCATGCAGATCCAACGTATCCCCATAGCTCTTTGTCCCGTCAGGGGGAGGGGTCTTAGAGCAAGGCCCCTCACGGGCCAGGACGAGACCCTCCGAAGAGCTGACAGCTCTGCCAGAATCCAGCTCCGTTTCAGGCAGGAGCCACCTGCTGATTTCCAGCCTCCATTTATTTCTGTGCAGCTCATCCCTCAGCTGAAAGGGTCCTTCCCCCCACCAGTTCCTTGTTTATGCCTGCACCTGCTGCCCCTTGGACTTTGCTCCATTGCACCAAACAGCTCAGGAGGGGCCCAAGCAAAACTGCAAGTGCCTCAGTGACACCTTGACTCGGCAGGCAGCTGCACTCCACGCAAGCAAGGTGTCGAGACAGTGGGAATATTCCAGGGTGGGTTAGGGCCACAACAGTTGTAGCATGACACACCCTTGTTAGACCCTACTCACCTCTGCGGTACTGAGGCTGAGATTCTGCGACCACCCCTGAGAGGCCTGAGAAGGCAGCGAGAACAGTCTGTGTAATCAGAGGAGGATGATGGGGTGGGGGTGGCAAGAAGTGGCATTTGGCACTTGGTTTGATGCAAGGGGTCCCAGCTTCCCTAGCCCTGCAACAATCGGACAGGTGAGTTCCCCTGACCTGGCTGGGCCCAGTGACCAGGGGCTTGTTCCGGCCTCAGGCGTGGCCCTGCCAGCAGGGCTCTGGCTCTGGCTCTGGCTTGGGCCCTTGGCATGGCTCTTGCCCCTACGGGGCTCATCCCGTGCTGCAGCAGGCTCCCAGCAGTGGGCTTGTTGCTTGTGGGCAGATCCCAGATTTTGAAAGGGGGGTAAGGCTGGTGTGGCATCACACAGACCACAGCATGTCTTCCTCCAGTTAAAGGGAACCCAGAGGCCCTGCTAATACGCCAGGGGCTGGCTCTGTAGACTTCAGTTCAAGATCAAAGTGAGAACCAGTATTGGAATGTGCGCTCATTTGCTGGTTTCTGTATAAAGTTAAAAAAACACAACACAGTCAGTAGGCAAAGAACAGTCAAAAGAGATTGTGTCCTTAATCCTGCAGGTGTTATGGTTAAATATACATCTCGTAGTCAGATTTGTCAAACAACATCTGGCCTTCTTGAGTGTCTTGACAGGGCCTCCAATAATGCCTTGTCGGTCATTTGTACGCCTGAGTTAATATTGCCCCACCTGAGTTTAGGTTTTTAGCTAGAGCTACAAACAGCCTGCAGGGCAGCGAAATAGAAATGAGACATGACCAGGAACAGCTGACAGACAGCAGAACTGCAGAGAAAGGAGAGTTTGAAGAGTGGAACACCAAGCCTGTACAGAGGAGAGCGGGTCGTTCACACCTGTGGAATGAAGAGAGATTAGCAGGAATCGGGGAGATGACAATGAACCATGATGCCAGTGGACTCCCACTGTGCTGCCTGGATAGAAACGCCGCTGTACCTCCAGACAGTTGGTTTAAAGTGTGGGTAGCGCAGGGATTGGTGGTGCAGCTACACCACTGCCTGCCCAGATCCACCCCTGCCGGTGGTGGCTGTAATGCGTGGCTGTGCTGACCGTCCCCTCTCTGCAGGTGACCACTTCTACAAGCGGAACAAGAACCTGCCCCCAGAGGAGCAGATGATCTCCGCCTTGCCGGACATCAAGGTGCTCACAATCAGTGACGACCACGACTTCATGGTCATCGCCTGCGATGGGATCTGGTGAGCAGTGGGAGTGCATCGCATCCCACGCAGTCCTTCTCTGAGGCAGGCAGGGCTGGGAACTGCCCCCACACCCCCCATCCATCTCCTGCTGACCCAGGTGCCAGGTCAGGGCCCCGATGCCTAGGGCCTGTCAGAGACCACCCCTCCCCTGGGTGGCTGCTGAGGGGCAGAGAGCATTGGGAGCCGAACCCTGCCTTTTCTGTGCTGCTCCTCTCCTGTCCCCCACCGCCCCGCAGCTCTCAGCCAGCACCTGCTCTCACGTCAGCTGTGGTATAGTTGTGCAGAGCTGGGCGCTCCCAGTGCCCCTTGGGCAGCTGCTCTGACTTTCTGCCCCTCTTCTGGCAGGAACGTCATGAGCAGCCAGGAAGTGGTGGACTTTGTGCAGTCCAAGATCACCCAGAAGGACGAGAATGGAGTCCTGCGGCCTCTCTCCGCCATTGTAGAAGAGGTAAGCAGCTTGCACGGGCTCCCTGCACTCACGGCGTCTGGGTGCTGGTGCTATTTGAGGAAAGTCACTTAAAGGGGCCAGATGTCCAAGTGCGGGCCAGACCCCTCAGTGCAGGGCAGCACATCTCCTCTGCTGCTGTTGCCACCTCCCTGGGTTGTCCTGACTGGACGCCACATGTCTGGAACCCGAGGCTTTCCCTGCCCTCAGCTCTCAGCACTGCTCTTCCCTGCCACAGCACTTCCATCAGGCCCAGCCAGCTGCTGGCAGGTGCCTTGGCCATCTACTACAGGACCCGACTGGCCTGAACAAGGGGCCTTCTCTGCTCTGTTAACTGCCCTCATCTCTTCCCAGCTCCTGGATCAGTGCTTGGCTCCAGACACCTCCGGGGATGGCACTGGCTGCGACAACATGACCTGCATCATCATCAGCTTCAAATCCCGCAACACACAGGCCCCCGCCCCCGAGAGCAGCAAGCGGAAACTGGAGGAGGAGGCAGCGGTGCTGGCGGCGGCAGCAGCGGAGGAGAACGGCAGCGACAGCAGCAAGAAGGCCAGGCTGGACTAGTCGGCCCCGCACAGAGACTGCCAGGCGCTCGCCAGACTCTCGTTTCTTAACCGCGCTGAACTCAAGACGCCCAAGTCTTGTCCTTTTTTAGCCTTAGCAGAGGCCTCGTTGTCTGTGTCCCGGGCGGGGTGGGCGGGGGGCGGTCACCAGGGCATGTCGCGCTGTTCATTTGTAACCATTCCAAAGGGTGAGCTGAGAGCGGAGCTGCCGTGCGGGCAGCCCTGGAGCGGCGGGGGGGGGGCGGCCCGGGACATCCCGCCACTGTCTCCAGGTGGCTGCGGCCGTTGCAGCGCCCGTGAGCGCCGCTTCCGCGCGAAGGGAAGAACTCTTTCACTGTGGAGGTTTTTTTTAATCTGCGCCCCTTTTTATTTAAGGCCCTTCCTGTTTCTAGTGGTGGAACCCTCTGGCTCTGGTGCTGCCATCGCACCTCACCCTGTCCACTTTCGACCGATACTTTTTCAAACTAAATGCCCAGAAAACCCAGCTGCGCCATGGTTGTCGCTTCTTTCCCAGCAGGCGGGAGGGAGCAGGGCGAGAAGCTGGGACACCTCTCCCTTGTCCCACGGGGCAGGGACAAGCTCCCTGATCTCAGGCTTCTGCTGAGCAGGGATAGAGAAAGGGCTCTTCCCCCCACCCCCAGGGCCAACACCTGTGCAGCAGGTGCCCCAGGCTGCCCCGTGGGGCTGCAAAGGAGTTATTTTCCCCTCCTGTTACTACAAGGGGGGCGGGGGGGCGTTCACCTGGGTGCTTGGTACAGCCCAGGCTGGGGATGGGGACTGGGCTGTCCTGCTGGGACCAACCTTGCAGGGTCCTGGCTTGAAGGTCTCGCCCTCCCGCTCAGGGTCAAACCAATGCTGCACAGGGCCAGGCTGTCGTTTTCACAGTAAATTGGACAAGGACATGTCTGGGAGGGTTTGGATGGGGCTGGTCCTGCCTGGAGCAGGGGCTGGATGAGCTGAACCCCACCGAGGGCCTTGCCAGCCCAGCTGCTGCAATTCCCCATCAGCATTGCAGCTGTTCCCGGCTGGATGGAGGCGCTGAAAAATGACCTGGGGTTGGAAAGTGTTGCCTCGGCTTTCCCCCCCCCCCGCCCCCCGTCCTTGGGCCCCTGCCTAGGGCTGGACCCTTGGGCCTGCATGAAAGAAAAGGCAGGCCTGTGCCTAGGCTCCCTCTGCTCACATGCAGGCCCCTGCCACCCACCCCGCTGTCCCCATATTTTATTGGGGAGTCCATCCCTCCAGCCCCAGGACTTGTGCTCCAGGCTGCTGCTTCCACCAGTGTCTGGGGAGAAGGTGCCTTGTGCTGACCCAGCTTCGCTCCATGGGCCTTGCTGGCAGTGTCAAGGGATGCTGCAGCCATAGGAGACCTTCGGGACTGTCCATTCTGGCTATGCACATGCCACGGACCGGAGCCATGCTGGGACACTGGTCTTGGCCCCAGGGAACAGGTCTCTGGAAGATGCCCAGGCTGATTTTGAAGTGTTCCAGGGATGAAGGCTCCCATCAGCTCATTTCTGCTGCTGCTACCATCGACACCCCACAATGAACCCACTGACACCCACAAAAGCTGCACATATCTGCCCAGAGCATGGCGCACCCCAGCTAATGCACTGTGCCTCCGCGTAGAAGTGACTGGGTGAAACCAGACAAACTACGCATCCCAGAATGAACCAACGCGGGGAAAAGATAAAGGGCAGAGACGTGGGAACGCAGGCAGGAGAACATTTCTCAGAAAGCAGCCACCGGCTTTGTGGCCCCATCCTTCTTGTGCTCAAAGGGATGATACAAAACATCTTCAGCAGTCGGGCCTGGAAACAAGATGTCGTCGCTCCACCTGGTGCCAGCAACCAGGGACTGAGCCCAGGTGCTGACACTAGCTCATCATCATCTACCTGCCAATCTCTGCACTCCCGGACCCTCTTCCCCCTTGAATGGTCTTACTCTTGCACTTAGGGGCGGCCCTTCCTGCTGCATTTCTGTCATCTTCCAGCTAATCCTGATTGCACCACTGCTGTTTAACAGCCCTGCTCTGTTCCTTCTAGCTTTTATTTTTGCTTTTATTTTTCTAGTTTTTCGTTACTTGGGTCAGGCTGCCTCTGCTTCTGTCTCAGACCTGAGGAAGGGCCCTCTGTGCCTAAAAGCTTATCTAATATCTCTTCCAACTACACAGTCCAATAAGTGAGGCCCCCCCCTCAAAAATGTCCCTGCCTGTTTCAAACCCCATTTGTTTGAATGGGACGATTAGAACATGACAGCTGGAAGGGAGCTCAGGAGGTGGCATCTAGTGCAACCCCCTGCTCAAAACAGGACCCGCCCCAACTACATCATCCCAGCCAGGGCTATAGAGGCAGGCCTTAAAAACCTCCAGTGATGGAGACTCCACAACCTCTCTGGGGAGCCTGTCCCTGTGCTTCCCCACCCTCCTTGTGAGAGTTTTTTTCCTAATATCCAACCTCATCTTCCCTTGCTGCAGCTTGAGCCCATTGCTCCTTGTCCTGCCATCTGCCCCCACTGAGACCAGCCCAGCTCCACCCTCTTTGCAGCCCCCCGGCAGGGAGGTGAAGGCTGCTATTCAATCCCCCTCGGTCTTCTCTTCTCCAGACTCAATCAGCCCAGTTCCCTCATCCTCTCCTCCCCAGTCCTGTCCCCCAGCCCACAACCATTTTCACTGCCCTCCGTCGGACTCTCTCCAACTTGTTGACATCCTTTCTGTTGTGGATGAGCTGTTACAGGACTCCAGATGTGCTGAATAGAGGGGAAGAATCACTGCCCTCCATCTGCTGGCAACGCTCCTACCAATGCAGCCCAGGATGCCGGTAGCCTTGGCAGGAAGGGTGCACTGCTGGCTCCTGTTCAGCTTCTTGTCCCATCACCACCTGGTCCTTTTCTGCAGAGCGGGTGCCCAGCCAGTCAGCCTCAGCCTGTACCAGTGCATGGGATTGCTCCGTCCTAAATGCAGGATTAAGCCATCTTGGGGCTATCCTGCCTGTGTCGGTGTTTGGTATCCCCCTGTCTGTCCTCTTCAAGTCTCAGCAGCAGCGGTTAGTTTTATGTACATTTACTTCTATGCCGTGCCATGTTCCTGTGAGGTCAATCTGCTGTTAGTCTGTTCTGTATGTGCTCCCAATATGGTACAATGCTGAATTTCTAGCCGGACTGTTCTGCACTATGAGTAAACGTCCACAGCAGCATCTTGGGCTGTTGCTATGTCCATGCAACTGCTTCTCCAAAACTCACCAATATTTTCAATAACGGCCACCTGATTTGAATAGATTGATCCTGCCATAAACCCACCTTGTTGGGCATGAATCGTATTTCTAGCCTTTGTCTGTTCAGTCCTTTATACTTGGTCCATTATTTTGCTTAGCACTTGTCTGGTGACTGGGCTCATGCCCCTGGGACTATCTCACTATTTTTAACATTGGCCCCACATGACTTTGTATGCCAAGGCTTATCACAAAATTCCCATCAGCCTGGCAGACTTCTCCTTGGCTGGCTCTTTTAGGACTCTTGGGCAACAGTTCTGTGTGTCTGGGTTTTTTTAACCAGTTGTGCCCAAGAGCTGCTACTTAATTTCCTCCTTTGTGTGGGGCTTTCCTATCTGTGCCTCAATCCAAATTCTCAAGCCAATTCAATTCCAAAACCAAATGATCTGAACTCCATCCTGCATCTCTAACCCTTGTCTAGCAGGACCTGTCTCGTGGTTTTGGGTGCGGGTGCAAGTGCCAGGCCCCCTCCGTTCTGCTTCTTTCCAGAGCAGGACTTGGCTGAGCACTTACACCTCCCTATGGTGTTACTAACTTTATCCTCGTGTTGGAAGGGGCCTGTCCCATTGCTAAGGCTTCTGCTCTTCTGGGCGTATTTAAAGCACCTTGTCCTTCACCCCACCCCTGGGGATTTCCTCCCTAAAGTCTTCAGTTTCCCGTACCTCTGTTGCACGCCAAGGCTTCTACTGTACGTTGGCGTTAGCTTCGTGGTTCCCAGTGGCTGCTGTGGGGGTGGTTTGTGCCAGACGGGCCCAGCTGCCAGCCTGCATGAGCCTGGGGGAGGCAAATGCCTTTGACTTGCTCTGCTTGCCGTCGCAAGGCGGGGAAAAGCAGCTCCTGCTCCACCGTCTCTGGACCACGCCGTGAGGCCATGCACTGAGATGAGGCAGCCACATGCCCTTGTGCAGTCCCTGAGCCACCCCCTCCCCTTGGGGCCTTGGAGCCCAGCCAGGGCACAGCCCTCTGCTTGTGGGTAGCCTGCTCTGCCTGCCTTGGCCTTGCACCATGGGCTTGCCATGTGCCCAGGACAGGAGAGGACTGGGCAGACCAGCCCAAAGCAGCGGGTCCTTCACATGAGTGCCAGTGCCCAGCATGTGCCCCACAGGGGAGCGTGGCCCCAGGAAGGGACTGGGGAGAAGGGCCTGAGCAGAGCATGGGGCAGCCGAGCGTGTGGGGCCAGGCTCCGGTATGGCCACAGCTGCCAGTGGGCGCTGGCCTCGAGCAGGCGGAGCAGGATTCCTGGCCAGGCTTCCCCCCATACATGTGAGCCCTGTGCCAGTGCCCCCCTTTCCACCTCCCCATCCTCACCCCTCCTCCAAGCCTGGCACCAGGACAAGACCCCCCCAGTGCTGGCAGTGATGGGGGCCAAAGACAGAGCTGTGGAGCTGGGCCCTGTGGCTCCGGGTGCCGCAGCCTCCTGCCTGGGCAGGGCAGTGCAGTGCAGCTGGCACAGGCTGCCCAAGTGCTGCAGCCCCCACGTGTGGGGCTTGTCCCCCAGTCTGGCACAGCACCACCCATGGGGCTCAGCACCGTGACCTGCCCACTGGCTGCTGCAGCCATGCCTGGCTTCAGCTCCAGCCCCAGCCCCAGCCCCAGTCCCAGCCCCATAGCCTCCGCTCATCCCTGTGTGGGACCTCTGCAGCCTCCCTAGCCCCACACGGCGGGCGGAGATGACGCCTGGGATCTGGGCGCGCAGACACCGGCTGCTTCGGCTACTGCTTTATTGCCTGCAAGCATCAGAGTTCGCAGCCGGCCCGTGGAGGGGTCGAGCAAGGTGCAGCCACGGGCCCAGTGGAGCGTCCCCGGCGCCGCTCCATTCTCAGCGTGGGGCTCGGCTCTGCCAGCCCCGGTCACTCGCCCAGGGCCCCAGGCGTGCTGCAGGCATCACTGGCACAGCCCAGAGAGTCCCCGGAGAGGCTGTGCCCTGAGGGCGCACTGCACAGGCTCTGCTCTTGCCCGGCCCGTGGCTCTGCCTCGATCGCCACTTCCACCTCGAAGTTCACGCCTTCCCTGTGAGGAGGAGACAGGATCACAGCCAGGCCAGGGGGCAGGGTGGGAGCATCCCTGCCCCATGCCCGCAGGCTAACCTGTAGGATGCGTCCTGGCCCTCGCTGAGGATGCTGCCAGCCAGGGCCGTGGTGCTCGCAGACTGGATGTCTTGGTCCTTGCAGCCGGCCTGGTGGCGCTGGCTGCGGCGGCGGCTGCTGCTGCTGGGCAGGGAGGAGGCTGTGTCGGGGGTCACATCCTCAGCCGCCCGTGGGTTGGGCAGCACGGCCCAGAGCTCGTTCACTGTGAGAAGTGGGGAGACGGGCATGGAAAGACCCCCCTGCCTTCCCCACGGCATTCACTGGACCCTGAGCTGGGGCAGCCACACTGGCCAACCCGCTCCGCCTTGCCCTGGCCCACGGTCCTGCCACCGGCTGCCCCTGAAGCCCTGTTCCCGCTCCCCCAAGAAGCTGCAGGATCAGGACCTCCCCCCCCAGGAGACCCAGAGCATGGAGGCACTGCCAGGCCCAGGCCAGAGCCAAGGGGCTGGGCTGGCCCATGGGGGCACGCAGCGGGGGGCACAGGGTCTAGGGTTGAGCGTGCAGGCAGGAGAGAGGGAGCCACTGGCTTCAGGAGACCCCGTGCAGGGGGGTTCCCGGGGCAGGGGCAGGCCCTGGTGCCCCAGTGGAGGCAGCTGTTGGTGCCAGCGACCAGGCACTCACGTTTGGCGAGGTTCTCCAGCTCCACCATGCCGGGGTCCCCAGGCTTCCCGCTGCCGTCTGCGCAGCCCCAGCGGTTGCGGCATAGTGACAGCACCACCACGCCGTAGACGTAGGTGAGCAGCAGGGGCACTCCGACCCCTGCGGGCAGACACAGAGCTGGGCCAGGCCCAGTCGGCCCCAGGCAGCTATGGACCAGGGGTGCCCACCCTGCTCAGCGGGCACTTACCCACGGTGACGGCGGTGATGATGGGGGAGACAACGAGGGACAGGAGCACGCTGCTGCTGACCGACAAGCACCGCTGGCACCCTGACAGGTTGCTCTTCCGGCTGCGCCCCAATACCTGCGGGGCGGGGTAGGAGCAGGTGAGGGGCAGGGGAAGCTCTGAGGCTGCAGGAGTGGGGGGATCCCCCTCCGCTGACAAAAGAGGACTTGGGCCCTGGGCCCGGCCTGGGGGCTGTTACCTTGCGACCCATGTAGACGGGGAGACCAATGGTGATGACGGGCACGGCAATGCCAGCGATGAGCGAGATGACCATGGGCGCACCCAGCACCATACCCAGCTGCCACAGCAGCTTTCGTGTGCGCGACCAGGGCCGCTTGCCCCAGAAGGTGCAGCCAGATGGGCTGGAGGGGGTGAGGCACCGCGTCCGTCCAGCTCTGTGGGGCGGGGGGGGACCCTCCTCCCAGGCACCTCCAGCCACGGAGCTGGACTTGGCCACGCTGGCCTGCCCAGGATCCCCCCCACCTGAGCTCTCTGTGCCCTCCAATGCACCCCCTGCCCATCCCCCAGCCCCACACTGGGGCCCAGCCCAGCCCTACAACTGCCCCCATCCTCCGTGCCCTGCCCGGCCTCACAGCAGCCCCAGGCCAGCCCCCTATGCCCGTCCTGCACCCCCACAGAGACCCCCGTGCAGTGGGACCTGAGGAAATGCACGTCGGTGACCTCGCGCAGGCAGAGCCAGCAGAAGAGGCAGCCACACATGGTGCAGCTCATGCGGTTGCAGCTCCCGTCGTTGATCTTCATGATAAAGGCGCCACAGCGGGGGCAAACCTTGATAACTCCTGCATCTGGGGGTGGAAGCAGGGGACAGGGCAGCATGGCCTCCTTGCAGCAGCAGGTCATAGACCCCCTGCCAGCCCCAGTCCTCCCCCAGCCCCCACGCCCAGCCCAGCACCAGGAAGGGCGAGCAGGCCATGGCCCACGGCTGGGAGCTGCTGGGGGAACTGGCCCAGCAGCTACCCTGATGAGGGGCAGGGGGCCAGACACCACTAAGCACAGGCAGGACCAGGCACCAGGTCAGTGTTGCTCCCATGGGCAAGGGCAGGGCCAGCACAGCGCACCGTGCTGCAGCTCTGGGGTGCAGCAGGGCAGGTGAGCTGGTTCAGCCAGGGTGCTGCCAGGTAGTCTGTGCCCCAGGTCCAGTGCAGCCAGGGGTGGGTCCCTTACCATGCGCCGCCTCCTCCGGGTGGATCAGCAAGGTGCCAGGGTCGGTGGTGCCGGGGACAGGGGCACAGGCAGCACCGGGGTGCCAGGGCTGCCGGCAGTGGTAGCAGAACTCGGTGCCGCAGCCTTCGCGCCCACAAGTCAGCCGGGGGCAGTCGTCGCAGCCATAGGCGATCACCGCATAGCTGGGGGTACACAGTGCTGGGGTCAGAACTGCGGTGGCACCAGCCCCCCACCCCTGCTGTGCCACCACCTCCAGCCATCAGCATGGGGCCTCGGCCTGGGCCCGGCCGCACACCCCTGCGAAGTCCCTACCAGCCCTGAGAAGCCATGACTGGGGAGCAGGTCGGGTCGTGGCTCAGTGGAGGCAGCCCATGGCCAGGGCACTGAGCAGGTGCACGGCGCTGGCCATGCGCTCCGTCCCATGCTCGTAGCTCACAAGGGGTCAGTGCAGAGCCCAAGCCACAGCAAGAGCCCCAGGAGCTGGCATGGAGCGGCTGGGGGGACCCAGTCCCAGCCCTGCCCTCATCCCATTCCCATTCCCATGCAGCCGGACCCGGCATCACCTGCAGTCAGGTGCAGGGCACCAACGGGTGCCGGGGTCAGCGGCCAGCAGGCGCCGCAGCAGATGCTCCTCGTACTTGTTGCGCAGGGCGGGCTCGGGCAGCAGCTGGCACACCTCGGTGGGCAGCAGGGCCGCGGGGCAGTGGGGACAGGCCACAGGCACGCGGCGCTCACCCACCTCGATGCGCAGGTAGGTCTCCAGGCAGGTGCGGCAGGAGCGGTGCGTGCAGGTGCTCAGGGTGGGGAAGGCGTCTGGGGGCTGGGGCAGCAGGCATAGCGGGCACTCCACCAGTCCCCGCTCCTTGCCAGGCGGCACCGTCACCCGTGTCTCTGCTGGGCCTCCAGGGGTGGGCTCAGGCACCAGCACCTCCCTGGGGGCCCGTGGCTGCCGCCCAAAAAGGCCCAGGATGCGGAAGGGCCGCGGGGGCTGTTTGGGCTGCTTCATGCTGGCATGGGCACAGGCAGGTCAGGGCAGGAGCCAGCTGCTGCCAGGCCGGGGGGGGGCCCAGAGACAGACAGAGCCCACCCCCGGCACTGCCCCCATGCCCAGAGCCAGGCTCCTATCTGGGGCTCTGCTCCGACATCCCTTAGGGCAGCATCAGCTCCATCCTCAGCATCGGGCCTGGGGAGGGAACAAACACATGCTGGGGTGGGCAGGGGGAGCTGGAGGCACGCTCCCAGGGGTGTCAGGGCTGGCGAGCTGACAGGGTGAGCTGGGGGGCCAGATTTTCTGGGCACCCCAATGTATGACCTCTGCACCTGCCCGGGGAGCACCAGAGCTGCCCCAGCTCCGACAGCCCCTCCAGCACTGTCCCACGTGCCCAGGAACTGAACCGCAGACGTGCCTAGGCCCGGCCCCGGGGTGCCAGCACCGACTGCCCCAACACCCAGCACTGCCTGAGCCCCAGGGACACTCAGGCCTGGACCGCAGGGCCCGGTTACCTTTATTTGGAGCAGCCAGGTACCGTCCTGGCTGCCCTCCCGCCAGCCCCACTAAGCCCTGCACCACCAGCGCCTGCTCCTGGGACAGCTCTCACCGGCCGACTCCCTCAACGTGTGTCCAGGGCGCCGGGAGCTCTTTCATGCACAATGTTGCCCATGGCGCAGTTGAGCTCCCCCCTCCCTGTACCACCAAGCCCAAGGCCTGCCCTGGGGGGCTGCAACCTCCCTGCAGCCCCAGATGTTCCCCCTGGTTCCACTCTTTCTCCTGGCTCCTCTTCTGGCCCGTCACCCCCGCCCCTGCCCCCAGGAAAGCAGGGGGGCTGCGGCCGCCAACATCCTGCTGCTGCCAGGGGGTTCATGGGTGCTGCAGAGAGCCCAGGCCAAGGTCGTGCCCCCACTGCAGAGGAAGGCAAAAACCCCCAGTGCAGACCAGTCTGAGCCGGGGGGAAATCCCTTCCTGCCCCAGTGCAGCATCAGGCTGAGCCCGAGCGCAGGGGCAAGACCCTCCAGCCAGGACCCTGGGGGGGTGGTGTCAGCAGGAGCATTGGCCCGGCCCAGCACCATCCCCAGCCTCTGGGGGAGGCTTAAAAGAAACCCGACACACGGAGCAGAAAGGAGAGAAGGGGGCAACCAGCACAGCCTAGAAGCCTGGGAAATCCCCATAGCAGAGCACAGGCATTGGTGCACCTAGATTATCCCCGATCAGCATCCATCCACCCTCTCCTTGACCCCTCCAGGGATGGAGAGTCCCCCCTTCCCTGGCATCTGGGAACCCGAAAGAGGTCTGCAGGACACTCAGTTAAACCCTCCACCCTCTGACAGACATGCTGAATGGGGCACAGACCGGGCGACTGACCGCTTTCAGAGCTGTCGTCAGAGCAGAGGCATCACTGATAACGTCCCTCAGAGGACTCCATGCGCTTGCTGCTGGGCCTGAAGCTCACCAGTTCCCCCTTCCCTGGCATCTGGGAACCCGAAAGAGGTCTGCAGGACACTCAGTTAAACCCTCCACCCTCTGACAGACATGCTGAATGGGGCACAGACCGGGCGACTGACCGCTTTCAGAGCTGTCGTCAGAGCAGAGGCATCACTGATAACGTCCCTCAGAGGACTCCATGCGCTTGCTGCTGGGCCTGAAGCTCACCAGTGCTTTCTGTGGTGACCTGGAAAGAGAAGGGAAATCAAGGCTGGGAGGCGTCAGCAGGGAGGGATGAGCGGGAACCGGAGCCGGCTGCCTATCCTGCAGCCCTGAGGGATGGCATCCAGGCCTGGAGAACACACCCGCTGGTGCCAGGCTGGGGGAGCTTGGCAAGGAGACGGAGGGGACCGGCTGCAGTGCACGAGGCCTCCCCAGGGGGAACACAGGGCCTGGGACATGGCGGGGGGAACCAGGGACAGCTGGGGCCGAGCAGCTCCCAGGCAGGACCTGGGTGCAGGGTGGGAGCTGCAAGCATCAGAGCCAGCCACAACCCGTGGAGCCTCTCCGTTCCGTGCTCAGGGGCCTTTCTGGAAGATGCTGCAGCCACAACGCCGGTCCCAGGGCTGCGCCACGGGGCGCGGGCGGAGCCGGGTGGCTTGAGCTGGACCCTGGGGCCCACAGACACCTCCCCGCAGCCCAGAGCTCAGGCCAAGCCCCCGCCTCGCCCCGTACCGCCAGCCACAGCCCCGCAGCTCTCCCTCGATGCGGTGAGACAAGATGCTTTCCTGTGCATCTCCTGCAGCGTCAGGTCCCGGCCACGGGTTGTCCGTGCAGGCAGCGCAGTGCTCCCCGCTGAGGGGGAAAAAGAGCTCAGCTCTCACGGCCCCCGTGCGCCCACAAGTGCCTGCAGCCATCCACCCCACCCCGGGCAGGTCGGGCACCAGGGCTGGCCCCAAGACATCAGTCCCCCAGGCCTGCCCTGCCCCAGACACCCCTTACCCTGCGCCCATACAGAGACCAAGCTACACGCCCGTCCAGCCCCGGGCGGGGCGGGGAGGGTCCCGGCACTGCGGGGCGTGGGGCGGGCAGGGGACAGGCAGGTCGCGGGTGGAGGGCTAGGTGCAGGAGGGGGGCAGGTTTCCCCGCGCCCCCCAAACGGCCGGGCA